CTCTCTCTCTCTCTCTCTCTCTCACACACACACACACACACACACACACACACACACACGCACATACATTCTCCTGTCTATTGATGGGGAGCGCCACCTATTGGAAACTGGGTCCAGCGTCCCATGAACATCGTCAATGAAGCGCCAACCGGGACCGCACACGCACTCTTCGAGTTATATATAGCGAACATGACAAAACAGACATATAGCATAATCACTACCTTACCCTTCCCGAACCACATAAACAAACGAACTACGGGCTGCGCACCCGTGCCCTCACGGTAAGTCAGTTTTTTGTTTCCTATTTTCTATTGTTTTTGGGAAACCCGCCAGTCATTTCATTTTATTTCAGTGGTGAAGAAAAGGTGTGGCGGCGAGGCCCAAAGAAAAAAAAGAGTTCCCAAACATTTTGTTTGCGCCTCCGCCCCCAGTAGTAGTTCTAGTTTCGGTGAGGCACACGAGTGTCCAGTGCCGCGAGTCTGTTTGTCTGGCCTTTCTGGATCTGGAGAGAGAAGGCGCGGGTGACCACATACGCGCCCAAAGGCGCAAATACGGTACCAAACGTCGCAGATATTTGTATTTGCGACTGTAGGTCCGCGTGTGAGTATGCCGTGTGTGTGTTTGTCTCGCAGCATCCCCTGCTACTTGTAGCGCCCGTCGGGCCCCCTGCGCGCAGGGGGGTCTGGCCTGCGGTGGGCCTGCCTGATCTTCCGTCTGCTCTGCCCTTCTCCGTTTCGCGGTGGTTCTCCCGCTCGTCTCCCCTCCCCTGCTGTACCCTCCCATCTCCATTGCGCGCACCCTTCTCAGCGCGCCGTATCCTCCTCTGCACTTTCTCACCCTTTCGAACGCGACACCCTCGCGCGCGCCGCGGGCTGCACACGTTGGTATATCGCTACCGGATCTGCACCTCCTCCTCCTCCTCCGAGCTCCCGCAGGCGGCGCGGAAATTGCTCCGTCCCTCTGGGCGGCGACGACTCCGCGGCTCGCCCGACCTGCCTGCTGTCTCTTTCGTCTCCTCTTTGTTTTTCTGCCCTTCCTCCCGCTGCTTCTTCCTTTTCGCTGGTGCGCGTTCCGCCTGTTTACTGTGCGGCGCTGCCGGCCCAAGCTCAATTAGGGCTACTCCCTCCTCCTCCGTCCATGCCCACCACCACTTTCTCCCTCCGAGCGAAGCAGCCGAACGAAGTCAAGCCTCGCTCGCCCTCTTCCTGCGATGGTTGCTTCTCTCCTTTCGTCATCTTGGACCTTTCGGTGCGGACGCCGACGTTGACGGGCAGCAGCAGATCGTCCTCCACGTGGCGACTCTTTCTCCATCGAGCGTGATCAAAAGCGGACGACGGGGTACGACCCTAGAAATAGCCTACTTACTCCCTACTTAGCCTAATCTGCAAGTGCATATCCTGTAGGCTAGAGAAGCCGCGAAGACCCAGAAACGCTGGGAGTATCATTTATTTGTCTTTATTCTTTATAGAAAGTGCGTGCTTGGTCGGACGGCGAAGATCTGACGATGCGATTTCCATTTCACCAGTCAGGAGTTCAATCGAGGGCATGAAGCTAGGGAGTCTTTTAAGTCGTCTTCTCGGAGAACATTTTGCGAATGTTTGGTTTGGGGTATGACGATTGAGCTGGCTCTTCTTCGCCTCGTGATTAGGGTTCTGCTCCGATCGTAAAGGGATTGGAGCGAGGATACCTAGCTAGGGATTGTCGTCATCTGTCTGCTGGAAGGTGCGCCGAAGAGCATATTTAGTCTCTCTGTTGTGGGGTTATGCCGTGACTGTCGGTCCGCAGTAGTGATTCGCTAAGGGGAGGGATGAGATAGGTAGTAGGGGGAGTGGTGGGGTAGCCTTGGGAGGAGGAGGAGGGGAGGGACTTCAGCTGTGGCTGCTGAGGGGGAAATAGGGCGGCTGCTCGTTCTGCCAGGCGGATCAGCGGGGAAGCCGCAAGAGGTAGCATAGCAAAGGGAGTCGAAGGGAAGGATCGAGGGGAAGGCGGAGGGGAAAGAGAGCGTGTTGGTCCTTGGAAGGAGAACGTGTGTTTGGGTCTTCCCCTCAACCCTATTTGCGGCGGCGAAAAGTCTTGTCGCACTCCTTCCTGCTTACCTTTCCGGAATCTCCATCACGATCGATCGCTTTGCCGCCAAGTGTTTGACGCCCTGCTTGTTAGCAAGGGTGCCCTGCTTGTGAGCGAGGAGGGATCGCGACATCCGCAATGGTGTCGGCGGCTGTGGCCTCCGTTTTAGGCCAAGATGGAGCGCACTTCGACTTGCTGGTGGAGAAGTTGATGTCGCCGTCGAACGAGGAGCGAGGGCAGGCAGAGACCATCTTCAACGAGTGCAAGCAGCATCCCGAGCAGCTGGTGACGAAGCTGGTGCAGACTCTTCGGGCCAATGGGAAGTCGGAGCTTCGTGCTATGTCCGCCGTGCTGCTGCGCAAGGTCATCACGAAGGACGAGGTGTCGTTATGGCGGCAAATGAGTCCTAACGTGCAGAGTGCGTTGAAGGCGGAGCTGCTGCAGTGCGTGCAGCACGAGCAGGACAAGACCATATCTAAGAAGCTGTGCAGTGTTGTCGCTGAGCTTGCTGTCGGGCTTCTGGACGAGGGCAATTGGCCGGAGCTTCTGCCTTTCATGTTCCAGTGCGTGTCGTCGGACTCCGATCGACTGAAGACGAGCGCGTTGTTGATCTTTGCCGACTTGGCGGAGTACAACTGCTCGATGACTCAGCACTTGTCCACGTTGCACGGGCTGTTTCAGCAGTGCCTGTCGGCGGCGACGAACGGCGAGGTGCGGATCGCCGCGCTGCGCGCGACCACGAACTTCGTGCAGACGCTGGAGACGGCGGAGGAGCGGGACAAGTTCCAAGATCTTCTGCCCGCCATGATGCAGACGCTGAATCTTGCGCTCAATGCGCGCGAGGAGCTGGCAGCGCAGGAAGCGCTGGAAATGTTCATCGAGGTGGCCGGGTCGGAGCCGCGTTTCCTGCGGAGGCATCTGGCGGAAGTGGTCGCGGCGATGCTGCAGATCGCGGAGGCGGCGGAGCTGGACGAAGCAACGAGGCACTTGGCCGTGGAATTCCTAGTCACGCTGGCGGAGGCGAGAGAGAGAGCGCCCGGAATGATGCGCAAGCTGCCGCACTTTATCGTCAGACTCTTCTCCGCGCTGATGAGCATGCTGCTGGACGTCGACGACGTGCCAGAATGGTACACGGTGGAGAGCGAAGATGATGACGTCGCGGAGTCGGACAATCATTCGGTGGCTCAAGAATGCCTGGACAGGCTTACGATCTCCCTTGGAGGCAACACCGTCCTGCCCGTCGCCTCCCAGCTCCTACCGGCGTTCATCAGAGACGCGGATTGGAAGAAACGACACGCTGCGCTCATTACGCTCGCACAGATCGCCGAGGGCTGCAACAAGGCCATGGTTAAGCAATTGGGAGCGGTGGTGGAGATGGTGCTGTGTTCGTTTAACGACCCGCATCCGCGTGTACGATGGGCAGCGATTAACGCAATAGGACAGCTGTCGACGGATCTGGGGCCGGACTTGCAGCAGAATCATCACGCTCAAGTCCTTCCCGCTCTGTTGACGGCCATGGACGATTTCCAGAACCAGCGAGTGCAGGCGCATGCGGCAGCGGCTATCGTGAATTTCAGCGAGGGGTGCAAGGCTGACGTCCTCACGCCCTACTTGGACGGTGTCATCGGCAAGCTCATCGTGCTCCTCGAGAAGGGAACGCGAATGGTACAAGAGGGGGCCCTCACGGCGCTGGCGAGTGTGGCAGATTGCTCCCAGTCGCAATTTGAAAAGTACTACGACATGACGATTCCCTACCTGAAGGCGGTTCTTCTGAACGCGAACGACAAGTCGAATCGCATGTTGAGGGCGAAGGCGATGGAGTGCATTAGCCTGGTGGGGATGGCTGTGGGAAAGGAGAAGTTCAGGAACGATGCGAAGCAGGTAATGGATGTGCTGATGCGGCTTCAGGGGAGCGAGATGGAGGACGACGACCCTACGATCAACTACATGCTGCAAGCGTGGGCGCGCCTTTGCAAGTGTCTGGGGCAGGAGTTCCTTCCCTATATGAACGTGGTCATGCCGCCTCTGATGAAGTCGGCCCAGCTGAAGCCCGACGTGACCATCACGGACGCCGACTCGGACGAGGACGAGGAGGAGGAGGACGACGATGACAGCGTGGAGATGATTCGCCTAGGGGACAAGAAGATCGGCATCAGAACGAGCGTTCTGGAGGAGAAAGCGACGGCTTGCAACATGATCTGTTGCTATGCCGACGAACTGAAGGAAGGATTTTTTCCTTGGATAGAGCAGGTGGCTCCCATTCTGGTGCCGCTGTTGAAGTTCTACTTCCACGAGGAGGTCCGCAAAGCCGCCGTTTCTGCGATTCCCGAGCTGTTGCGGTCCGCGAAGCTGGCGGTGGAGAAGGGCGTGAGCGGCGGCAGGGACACAAGCTACGTGAAGCAGCTCGCAGATTACGCGCTGAACCCTCTCGTGGAAGCCTTGCAGAAGGAGCCGGAGACGGAGATAGTGTCGAGCATCTTGGAAGCGCTGAACGAGAGCATGCAGATTGTGGGGACGCTGCTGGAAGAGGCGCAGGTGAAGGCTATGGTGGAGCAGTTCCAGGTGGTTCTGAAGGCGAGCGAGCAGAGGAAAACCGAGAGGCAGGAGAGAAAGAAGATAGAGGACTTCGACGAGGAAGAGAAGGAGTTCCTCGAAGAGGAGAACGAGCAGGAAGCGGAAGTGTTTGAGCAAGTCGGAGAATGCATCGGCACCCTCCTCAAGACTTTCAAGGCGGATTTCCTTCCGTATCTCGACGAACTGATGGCGTTGATTGTGCCGATGCTGGCCCCGGGAAGGTCTTCCGAGGAGAAGAGAGTGGTGATCTGTATTTTCGATGACGCCATCGAATATGCGGGAGAAGCGGCAGCCGTGAAGTACTTCGAGGTCTTCTTGCCGGCGGTTTTGATGGCCTGCACGGACGACAACGCGGACGTGCGGCAGGCCGCCGTGTATGGAATTGGCGTCTGCGCGCAGTTCACAGGTATGCGTTTTCGCCCCATTGCCCTGGAAGCTCTGGGAAGATTGCGGACTGTCGTTGTGCACCCGGAGGCGAAATTGCCGGAGAACGCCCCCGCGACCGACAATGCAGTGTCTGCAATAGGGAAGATCTGCCAGTACCAACGAGATTGCATTGATGCGTCTCAGGTACTGCCGCTGTGGCTGAATTGTTTGCCGTTGAAGAATGATCTCCTGGAGGCTCGCATGATGCACGAGCTTCTGTGCAATCTGGTCGAGAGCTCGGATCCAGCGTTGCTCGGGCACGGGAGCGAGAACTTAGGGAAGGTGGTTGCAGTTTTCGCCGAGGTCATTGCGGGAGGGGCTGACCTAGCGACGGAGCAGACGTCCTCCAGAATGATGACCACATTGAGGACCCTTCGATCTTCCATAACCCCCGAAACTCTCGTCTTGCCGTGGGTCCGAGAGTTGGAAAATGCGTCCAAGTTCATCTCCCTATAGTAAGTTCATTGTCGCTGCATATTATCATCGCTGATTTCTCTTTGTGCTCTTTTCCTCGCGTTTGCGCTATGCTCTTCTTCTCTGTGTGTGTGTGTGTGTGTGTGTGAGAGAGAGAGAGAGAGAGAGAGAGAGAGAGAGAGAGAGATCTTGTCCTCGCGTTTGCGCTCTTGGTATGCTCTGCTTCTCTGTGTGTGTGTGTGTGAGAGAGAGCGAGAGAGAGAGAGATCTTGTCCTCGCGTTTGCGCTCTTGGTATGCTCTGCTTCTCTGTGTGTGTGTGTGTATGTGTGTGTGAGAGAGAGAGAGAGAGAGAGAGAGATCCTCTTGTCCTCGCGTTTGCGCTCTTGGTATGCTCTGCTTCTCTGTGTATGAGAGAGAGAGAGAGAGAGAGAGAGAGAGAGGGCACCGTTCTAATAGGAAAAGTCTGTAGAGACATGTGGAGAAAAGACGAAAGGATAAAATAGTGTGCCCTGCAGCTGCGGAAGAGGGACCGGATACCGCGTTTCGGTTATTCGGGGGGCAGCTTAGCTGGGGGGCAAGGTGAAGAAGTTATGGCGGCGGGCGGGGTTTGATATTGGGGGATGGAGGGCCTGTGCGGTGATGTGTGTGGTAGCGGGGGAGGCACAGCTCCGATGTATGAAGCTGTGAGAGGAGAGGTTTCCTGGCTGGGGTTCTGTCGGTTGATATTGGGGGATGTGGGGGGGACTGTGCGGGAGGGGTTGTTTTGGTAAGAGGGGTGGCACACACAAGTCCGATGGGTGGGAGTGGAGGCAAGAGAAGGCTCCTTGGGAGGGGCGATGTTATCTTTAGGAGAATACACCACCTCCCCATTGCGAGGAGAAGACCAGTAGGAGAGAAGAAGCCTCCCCCTCCGGCTGGTCTTCACAACAAGCCTCACCCTCCTGCTGGTCTTCACAACAAGCCTCACCCTCCTGCTGGTCTTCACAACATGTAAGAAGAAGCCTAACCCTCTTCCTGGTCTTCACAACATGTAAGAAGGGTGAGGCTTCTTCTTACATGTTGTGAAGACCAGGAGGAGGGTGAGGCTTCTTCTTACATGTTGTGCGGGGGGGGGGCGGCGGGGGGTGACCAAGGGAGAGCGAGGATGGTGGTTGATGACGATGTGCTTGCCTGGATCTGTCAAGAAGACAGCGTTAGGTTGGAGATGGTTTGTTAGAGTGTGCTGTGCTTCTTCTCTCCCGGCGCAGGTGGTCAGGGTGTTGGCTGTTGTAAGGAGGGACGCAGCCGTTTCAGTTGGGCTTGAGAGTCAGTTGGTCTTTAGTTGCCTTTGGTGCTTGCATTTTTCATTCCGTCATTGATTGTTCTTTAGGGGCCAGCCATTGCTGTCTTTGGGAATGCATTGTCATTTGTCGCGCTCTGTTTTTTTTGTTTTTTTTCCCCTTCGCTTTTGCTCGAATTCTTTGCATCTTGAGTTGGCATCGTGGCCACCCATCTCGGAGAAGAATCATTTCTTTACTCGTCTTCTCCCTCCTTCCCTCTCCTTACCCCCCCCCCCCCCCCCCCCCCCCCCCCCCCCCCCCCCCCCCCCCCCCCCCCCCCCCCCCCCCCCCCCCCCCCCCCAACCCCCCCTCTTGTCCACTCTTTCCACTCGGAAAAAGTATCGTTGGGTGACGGGGGTAATTTTCACTAGGGTAATTTTCACTACGGTAATTTTCACTAACTCTATGCCCATTTGAAAATCATTGCTTCAGTGGTTTCATTCTTTGGGCCTTGGTCAAATTGTGATTGACCAATTCTCTGATATATTTATCTATTGAATCTGTCGCTCGAATTAATCAGATTCTTCTGAGGCTCTTGCAATGACTGGGATTCGAATCCAGCACAGCACAGAAAGATGCATCCAAAGGTCGGCTCAAGGCTGGTAGGCATGGTAAATAGGTATTTAGGGTCCCAGATCTGTAGCTCTTTTATTAACCCTGATTCCAAGCCAGCACAGAAACATGCATCAAAAGATTGAGGTAGGTTAGGGATGAGAAGTACAGGAATATATGGGTCCCAGAGTCAACCTTTAGAGTGAAAGCCCTCGGACCCGGGTTCCAATCCAGCACAGCAGAGCACAGAAACATGCATCCAATGGTCTTCTCAAGGCTGGTAGGCATGGTAAATAGGTAATTAGGGTACCAGATCTGTGGCTCTTTCAATATCCCTGGTTCCAAGCCAGCACAGAAACATGCATCCGAAGATTGAGGTAGGTTAGGGATGAGAAGAGCAATATAGTGGTCCCAGAGTCAAGCCTTCCTGCCTATTTCGGGGATCCACAGATCTGCCTATCCGTGGCTTCAGAATGTCCCTCTGACCGGTAGTTCTAGTCCAGCACAGCATAGGAACTTGCATCCACAGCCCCGAGTCAAACCTTCCTGCCTGTAGGCATGAGAAATAGGAGTGTAGGGTTCGCCAGTCCTTCAGGATGTCCGTCTGACACTGGTTCAATAAATTTAGCAGAGCACAGAAACATGCATACGTAGTTTGTGTCGAGGTTAAGGGCATGTGAAGCAGGGCTGTAGGGTTGAAGAGTCGTTCAGAATTTCTCCTGTCGAATTCATAATATAGCTGTGGTTGTTATCTTGCGGCCTTCTTGAACATCAGTGAGTAGGTTTTAAGTATTGTGCCTTTCGGAAATGTGATCGGTATCTGACCGTAATTACGGGCAAAGTCAGGGCAGCGGGAGAAAAGCCAAAGTAATAATGATATTTAGTATTTCTTTTCTCTTTCCGCGATACTCTTTCTTCTGTGTGTCACGACTCTTCTTCTGATTGTGGTTTCTGTTTTTCCCTTTCTTTAGGGAGTCGTGTGCTTGAGGCTTATTCTTGTTTTGTCTTTTTCCGCCTTTGCGCTCCGATTTCCAGTGTGACAATATATATTCATGTATTTTCGAGTGAAAATTTTTGTTCCGTCTCCTGCGGGCTGAGTTGTCCCTCTATATGTATGTACGTGTGGTACTTGTGTGCGTGTTTATATTTCTTGTGCCAAGACGAAGGATATGCTTTTGCTGTTGCTTCGTGTTATATGGAATGACGCTGTTGGGTTTTTGTTGCGGGCAAATGGGGCTCTCGCTCCACGAGTCTTTTAGCAACTGTGCAAAATGATGTTTTTTTTTTTTTTTATATATAGATGGTCCACGGATCCGATATTAAACTAATGATGAGATTGAATCTTCCGCTAGAGCATGCTTAGATACGCCACCAATTTCTTTTTTTTTCCGGTAGTGGAGCGAGGCTTTGTGTGTGTTACATGGTCTCCGTCAAGAAAAGGCGCTGGCTGACCTGGTCTCCGTCAAGAATGTCATATTAAAAAAAAAAAGAAAGCGCTGGTTGACCTGGTCTCCGTCAAGAATGTCATATTAAAAAAAAAAAAAAAAGAAGCGCTGGTTGACCTGGTCTCCGTCAAGAAATGTCCTTTTTAAAGAAAGGAAGATATCTCAGCTATCTCATTCCATCTCATTGGGGAGGGCATAACCGTGACCGGCAAACCCTAACGATCCGTCAGCTATCTCATTCCATCTCCCTCGCTAAAAGGAAGATAGAGAATGAACGTCGACAGAGGGACATAAGTGAATCCACGTCGTGCACAACCCCAAAGAAGCCTCTTGCGATTTTTGCCCCCTTTTTCGACTTTTGCCCCCTTCTATGTTTTCAGTTGATTTTTTATTTTTTAAAATACGTAATAGAACAGGTCCTCGTCATGGATCCAAGTCACATATCAACTGCTGTTACGTCTCTCGCTCCCTTCGTCTCGTGTTTTTTTGCCTTTTAATTTATCCCTACGGACCCGATTCCATATCAACTTCGGTCGGGGAGCATCCGTTCAGTTCCTGATGCACTGGCAAGCCTTAAATGAAAGGTACACGTCGCGCTCTCCCCCCCCTTCCCCCCCCTTCCCCC